ATTAGGTTCAGGCCTAGCTCCTTGGCCGGATTCTAAATTTGCGATCAAATGTTGAATAACAAAATACAATCAAGTAGGGTTTCCGAATATCCAACCCTCACTCGTGAATATCACAAGGAGATCATGTGAATAGAACTTATATACATAGACTTCATAAGCTTAGTAACCCTAGGTAAAATACATGCACACTTGCTTTTGTTTTTGGAAAGAAAACGATTAGAACTTTAAGTTTAAAACGTGACATACGCGACTAAAAATCATGTTTAAAATGATCATTACTTTCACCATGAAAAATGTATGGATTTTAGCAAAATTTCAGCTTAGGTGTTACTACTAAAGTAGACTCAAGCATCCCTAAGCAACCTCAGTCCAAATCGACCTAAAATCGCAGCTCCAATATCAATTTCACTCGCTTGAACCACAAGACAAAAAAACGGACAGCACCTCCCCTGTTTTTTCCTTAATTTCCAGCCATTTTCAAGGCTACAATTTCATCACCAAACAGTCCCAAATCAAGTTCACAAGTTATAGGAAACATAGAGTTCTTATCTTAGGTCACCAAACTCACTAATTTAAGCATATACATATCATATAACCATCATATACTCAAGCTGGAAAAATTAAACCCTTGGCTGAAAATTTAGAATGAAAGCTGGAAATTCCTACACCCAAGTTAAAAATCACATTTCAAAGCTTACTAAGTTATATCAAAGCTAGAGAGTCCCATGTGAAAGCTGAAAAAACTCATATACATAATAAATCCATGATCCAAGTATGAAATGGAGTGCAAGTAATCGAGAAAGTTAGGTTTAAACCAGAAAATGTTTACAAGACCCTTCCAAGTTTTTTTTGTCATTTCATAAGAAAAATTTCAATTTTTGTAACACTCTTTGAAAAGTCATAATTTGAGTTTCGTAAGTCTAAAAATCATAAATCTTATACTGTTAGAAAATAGACTCAAAACTCTACAACTCTCTAGAAGACATTTTCATAAAATTCTGCCCATAAATTAGTCAAATCTCAGCCTCAATTCACTGCTCAACTAAGTGCAAAAACAGGACAGTCTTGGATTTTTAGCCCACTTTAAAATTTGCTGGTATTTATAGAAAGTGAACCAAACCATGCATTTTACATGGTTAAAAGAGCTATGAGTCTAGTTTCAAATGCAATAAACATGGCTCAATTCAGATTTTTCTACACTAAGATATAACAGATTTCCCAAGACTGCTTAGAGTCTCCTGCGAGAAAAATTTTCAGCACACTAATAGTTTGGAAAACTGGGTTTTTCCCCTCTTAAACTTCTTTGTTTTGGCTCAAATCAACAAATATATGAAGAGCAAGGTTTTAACAAATGTCTTTAACAAGAGTACATCAAAATCACCACAAAATTTCTGAAAAGAAAGCTGAAATTCCTTCTCTCCCTCTCGGACAACCATAACAAAAATTTTCCAGCAATATCTCCATAAAAAATTCGAACTTTCTTAGTTATTTCCATGGCAAATGCACTATATCTTATAACTAACATTTCATGAGGCTTATGACATATGTTCTTGGCAAGAAAATCCATTACAACTCCACATATATATAAATTTTCAAGTAACTACATCAAGGCTGGAATTTTGCCTCTCAAAGTTGGAAATTGTATAAGCTATAAATCTCCTATTAAAGCTGAAAAATCACATATTGAACCTAGAGAATTCATATCAAGGATAGAAAACCTCATATCAAAGCTACAAAAGCCCATATTAAAGCTGGAAAATTCATCTCAAGGCTGAAAATTGAACATTGAATTGGAAATTGACCATATCCTAGCAACAACTTCACCAAAACCATGAAACCTTCCATAAAATCCTCCAATATCAAGTCATATGTGGATTAAATTGCAAAGTAAGAAGAAAAGGACGAGTTTCTTAGTGTAATACCTCAAAACCCCAAGATAAGATGCAAGACAAGAGGTTTCTTCCTCAAATAACTTCACCACAAGCTCTCTTCCAAATTGTTGTGAGATTTGTCGAAGTAGATTTGAGTTTTCTCTTGTTTTCCCTCACTAATTGGACAAGAATCAAGGCTTGAACTTGGAGCTTTTCTCTCCCTTTCTCTCCTCACGTTTTTGGCCAAGACAAGCAAAAAGAGAAGATGATTTGGATGATATAAAACTTGGTTGATCATATAAAGACTTGATCTTGATCAACTTTCCATGACATTTGGCAAGAAAAAAAAGTAATATCTATCCATTTAGCTTCCTAACATCCAAATGCTCCAATTAGCTTGTAACAACTCTTGTCACATAATTTTTTTTACACAAAACTACTTCTAATCCTCCAATTTATGATACACACTTCACTAATCGGTCACACTAGTATTATGCACTATGAGACTTAACATGTATCACATGAAAAATGCATCAAGTAAAATAAGAAATAGGTTAAAATCATAATTCAACTAATAAAACAACCAAGAATTCAAGGCAAGTAAATGAAATCAAAGAAAATATGTAACTAACTATTGGGTCACAACACAACTTGCAAACATCTAAAAGTGATAAAAAAATGAACAAAACCTTTTTTTTCTTGGCCAAAGTTAGGGTTTGAAATCTCTTGTATTAAAATCTCTTTCTTGCCATAAATATCTCGTGCCACAAAACGTTAGACAATCAATTAAAAGAAGCAATAAGGTACAATTGTCTGTTATCATTTGTTATATATATATACAAGCAAGTAAGCCAAAATAAAAGACATGAAAATTTTGGGTCCTCACAGAGTGGATTGAAATTAATTGATCTCTTATGCATATAAGATTGTGTTTCTAGTAAATTCACTTCAAGTGGATTTTCTTTCAAAAAAATCTTCCCTTAAATTCTTGCGCGTGTATATTAAATCCACCTCAGTCTTGATTGAATAGTTCAGTATGAGTGTTGACCAAGAAAATCAGCAACATTTATTTAACATCTTTGTGAAGATTAAGCTACAACGGTACCATTGCATACTGAATAAAGTAGAAACAAAAGTACAAGCATTGTGGTTTAAATACGAAACCATTTTTTTTTGTTGCTCTGACTAGATTCCTTATGAGGCGTATGCCTAGGTTGCATTTTGGGAGGAAAGATCTTTTGGAATTTTTTGGGAGAATATTCCCTTAACACATTTCCCTACCATTTTTTTACCTCACATGCATTACATCTCAAGACAGTGTTGGTGTTGTTTTTCTTAAAAAAAAAAAAAAAACTCCAATAACTCATAAAGCGCAATCCAGGTGGGAGCTTAGAAACCCTGAACAAAATCCAAAATTTCTATTTACCTAAACAGGATTAAAGCCTACAAAAGAGAGAAACACAAGGAACTATCTATGCCCTTTTGGCAATAGAGGAATTGTGATCTCATGCAGCCGATATTGGGTGCAAGGAGACAAACTGTTTGGGATCTGACACTAATGTTATGCGTAAGTTTCTTGAATGCTGATCCGCTATTTTTTTTTTTTTGGTTCTAGAGTGGATAAATTTATTGATTTTACTTCCTTTGGGTTGACCTAGGATGCCCTTTCATTGAGCAAGTTATCTGTTTTTCGAGGTTTGATTAGGTCAAGCTAAAGTTTTGTATTGTGTATTTTTTCTGATGATCTTGATTGATATATGCAGAGGCCCCGTCCTGGGCCTAGACACATGGCAGCCCAGGTATGGCCGAGCTGGACCTCGGCCCCAGGCCCCTGGCAGCCGTCCTGGGCCGCGCTGCTGCTAGGGCTCCAGAAGGGATAAGGGACCATCCCGCAGATGTCGGAGGAAATCCCCCTCAGCGCGGAATAAGGGCTATACCGGGCAAGTCTCGAAACGTACGGAGGTCGGACTCCCAAGAAAGTATAAATGGTAACGCACACTACTCACACAAGGTACGCTCACTATTCGCCAGTTACTTCCGACTATTTTACTTCCCGTGAACCTCATCCACCGGAAAACTAACTTGACCGTCGGAGTGCCCTCGGGGACGACCTCGGGGCCCCCCTGTTAGATCACCCTTCTACTTGTCTTGCAGGCTTGGAACCAGCTCTTGTATCAGTGCGCCGAGCTCAACAGTTCAGCTCGGTCCGGGGAAGTTCAGCGCTTTTTCAGTTGGCGCCGTCTGTGGGAATCGAGAGGTAAGTGCAGTTGCGTTGATGGCAAGAACCCGTTCCAAGCGGACCGTGGATAGCACCGGCCCTGGAATCGGTGAGGGCTCCCGGCGGATGGAGACCGGGGTAGATCCGGGCGCTGGGGGCTCAGCCCTGTCAGGGGAACGGAGGCAGCAGATTTTTCAATTCGTGACGGAGAACCTCCCTATGTTGGAAGACATCATCCGGCAGGCGAAGGAGGGGGCGAAGCCGGTGGCGTACAGGCCTCCAAGGCAAAGGGGAAAGAGAAAGAACCACTCCCCGACCCCTCGGAGGATGAGTCACGCGATCAACCCCCCAGAAGGAAACGGCCACGGACTCCCCCTCGCCCCCGAGTCTCGTTGGTCGGGGACAGCGAGAGATACTCCCGCGACCGGTCCGCGGAGAGCCGTCCAAGAGACCCCTCCCCACGGAAACCCATGCGAAATGGGTTCGAGCGTTCCCCTGCTCGGTCTGTCAAGAGCAAGCCGCGCGACCTCCCCTCGTGGAAACCTGTCCGAGACGAACTCGAGCAGATCTTACGGCCGCAGTTGTATGAGGACAACTACACCACCTCGCCTTTTCCCCGGGAGATAGAGGATTATCCACTACCCCGGAGGTTCAAGATCCCGAGCATTGAGATGTATGATGCTTCAACCGACCCGAAAGACCACCTCTCAGTCTTCCTGACGCACATGCGTCTACAAACAGCCGCGGACGACATCCGCTGCAAGACCTTCCCCATGTTCTTGAAGGGGAAGGCTCGGCTCTGATTCCAAGGTCTGGCACCAGGATCTATCCGAAATTTTCCCGAATTGGCCAGACAGTTCGTGGCCCTGTTCGTTTCCTCGAAAACTTACTCGAAGAATGCGACTCACCTAATGGCTACCAGGCAGAGGCCCGACGAGTCCCTGAGAAATTTCATGACCCGTTTCAACGTGGAGAGTTTACAGGTCAGGGACAAAGATGAAAAGGTGGTCATGGCCGCCTTCATGAATGGACTCAGGGTAGAGGAGCTCTTCTACAAGCTGGTCGAGAAGCCTCCTAGAAATCTGGAGGAGCTCCTGACCAGGGCACACGAGGCCGCTAATGCGGAGGAGGCAGGCCGTCTGAAGAAAGAGTCAGATCGGGAGCTTGGAGATCGGAGGGGACGGGGAAACCCTCCCGAGAGCAAGGATGGCTCGGCCAAGAAAAACGTTTTTGACCGGCTCTCGAGGGAGAAAGCCCCTGCTCCGCCACCACTTCCGGAGAAGGGCTATACCCCCTTGACTCGGCCTAGGGCCCATATCCTGGCTGTTATGGAGGCGGAAGGCCTGGGAGGTCGGCCGCCCAAGATGGGGACACCTCGGAACAAGAGGAACCAGGACCGGTACTGCGCCTTCCACCGCGACGTCGGACACGACACGGAGAGGTGCTGGGCCCTGCAGAAGAAGATCGAAGATCTGATCCAGCAAGGGGTCCTGGGGCGATTCGTGCGGCAAGGTTGCCCCGGCCAAGAGCCCGGGCATACCTACCGCGGAGATTAGGGCGAAGGCCGGGGTCGCGACCGTCCTGAGCGGCGTGACGTGCGTCGGGGCCGCTCCCCCGACCAAGACACCCAGAACCTGGCTGGAGTGATAAACACCATCGCCGCGGGCCCCGCCGGGGGAGACAGTCACACAGCTCGGAAGAACAGGCGACCTCCCCCTGACGGGGATGACTCCCTAAAACGGCTGCGCATGGACGAGAAGATCACTTTCGGACCAAGGGATGCAGTTCCCCTAGCGTCTGGGAACCATGAGACCATCGTGATAGACATGGTCACCAACAACTACCGGGTGAAGAAGGTATATGTCGACCAAGGAAATGCGGTTGACATCATGTTCTATCGGGTGTTCAAGGAGCTCGGCTTGGAGGACGGGCAGCTGACCCCAGTTCGGACACCACTGATGGGTTACACCGGACCCCCTATCCACCCGGAGGGAATGATCACCCTGATGGTCACGGTAGGGCAGGCCCCCAAATGCCGGACCATCCCTGTCAACTTCGTCATGGTTAAGCAACAATCCCCATACAACGTGTTCTTGGGTCGGCCTGCTTTGAACGCTCTCCGAGCTATCCTCTCGACGTTCCACCTCAGCGTCAAATTCCCCACCCCGGGAGGAATAGCCGAGGTGCGCGGTGACCCCTAGGTGGCCAGAGCTTGCTACTTGGCCATGCTTCAGGGACGGGAGAAGGTGGTCGCCCAAATGACCTGCCTGGAGCCCTACATTCCAGGGGAGAAAACTCGGCAGTTGGGCACTCAAGACGAGATCGAGGAGTTCCCCTTGAGGGAAGACTGGCCCGACCAGGTGATTCGCATAGGCGCGTTGCTGCCTCCCGAGGAGAAGGAGGGCTTGAATGCTCTGTTAAGGGAATACTCTCAGGTCTTCGCCTGGACGGTTGAAAACATGCCCGGGATTCCGACCGACCTGGCGGCCCACCACCTCAATATAGATCCCCGCTTCAAGTCGGTGAAGCAGAAAAGGAGGAGTTCGTCCCAGAAAGGAACGATGTGATCAAGAAGGAGGTAGGAAAACTGCTGGAGTCTAAAATCATACTGGAAGTCTACTACTCGACCTGGTTGGCCAACCCGGTGTTGGTTAAAAAGAAGGACCAGACCTAGAGGATGTGCGTGGATTTCACGGATCTCAACAAAGCTTGCCCAAAAAACTGTTTTCCTCTGCCGAGAATCGACAGGTTGGTAGACTCTACTGTGGGTTTTGATGTTCTGTGTTTTTTGGATGCCTTCAAGGGGTACCACCAGATAGAGATGGCAGAGGAGGATCGGGAAAAGACCTCCTTTATCACCGAGGAAGGAACCTACTGCTACCGGACTATGCCGTTTGGCCTGAAGAACGCTGGAACCACCTCCCAGCGCCTAGTCAACAAACTATTTCAGAATCAGATCGGCAGGAGCATGGAAGTCTACGTAGATGACATGATCGTCAAGAGCCGAGCTGATCAGCAGCTCATCCCCGACCTGAAGGAGATCGTGGGCATCCTGCGGGAGAGCCGGATGCGATTGAATCCGAAGAAGTGTACCTTCGGGGTTAGGTCGGGAAGGTTCCTGGGATTCTTGGTGTCTCGAGACGGGATCCGGGCCAACCCGGATAAGCTCCAGGCTATCATAGACATGGCCCCCCCAAGGAGCGTAAAGGAGGTCCAGCGGCTCACAGGAAGAATGGCCACCTTGAATAGATTCCTTTCGCGTTCTGCGGTCCGGGGGCTTCCCTTCTTCAGGATCTTGAAAGCTCCCAAGGACTTTCAATGGACTGCAGAGTGCCAGAAAGCTTTCGCCGACCTAAAGGCCTACATGGTTGAGCTGCCCACCCTGACCGCCCCGGAGCAGGGGGAGACCTTGTTCCTATACCTGTCCGCTTGCAACGAGGCCGTCAAAGCGGTCTTGGTGCGGGAGGACAAGGGGGCTCAGAGGCCGATATACTACGTCAGCCGTACTTTGCAGGGGCCGGAAACACGGTACACGTCGGCAGAGAAACTGGTCCTCGCCTTGGTGCACGTGGCTCGTAAGCTCCGACCTTACTTCCAGACCCACAACATCGTTGTTATGACGGATCAGCCCCTACGGCAGATACTCACAAAACCCGAGGTCTCAGGCAGAATGACTAAGTGGACCGTTGAACTAGCCGAGCACGACATTGGCTACCGGCCTCGTACCGCTATCAAGGCTCAGGCCTTGGCGGACTTCCTCACTGAGAAGGCTAGCTTGGCCATCACCGGGCAGAGCTCTCCGCCTAGTGAGTCGCGGTCGGGAGAGCCTTGGATCTTGTTCGTAGATGGGGCCTCGAGTAAGGAAGAGAGCGGAACTGGCCTGCTGCTCATTTCGCCGACCGGGGAAGAGCTGACCTACGCTCTTCGATTTGACTTCCCCGCATCCAACAATGAAGCCGAGTACGAGGCCCTGCTCACCAGATGGGTATAACCACGATCAAAGTCCGGAGCGACTCCCAACTCGTCGTGCTCCAAGTTTGCGGGGAATACGAAGCCAAGGGGGAGGTCATGAAGAAATACCTGGCTAAGGTACGGGAGGCAATGGCCCCGTTTGATACTTTTGAAATCGAGCGGGTGCCGAGATCCCAGAACAAGCTCGCGGACGCCCTGTCAAAACTGGCGTCCTCCTCATTCGCCCACCTGAGTAAGGAAGTCCTGGTAGAGGTGGTCAGACAAAAGAGCATTGATCACGTCCAGGTCTTGGTCATTGACAGCTCGGCCACCTGGATGACCCCACTGATGAACTTCCTCAACTCGGGCATCCTGCTCGAGGACAAAGCGGAAGCTGGCCGACTCCAGCTCAAGGCTGCCAAGTACGCCTACGCTGGGGGGACTCTCTACCGGAGGTCATATCTGTCCCCCTGGCTAAAGTGCGTGACTCCAGAGGAGGGCGACTACGTCCTTCGTGAAGTTCACGAGGGCTTATGTGCAACCCATGTGGGGTCCCGGGTACTGGCCAAAAAGTGTCTTCTCTTGGGCTACTATTGGCCCTCGGTGTTCCAAGATGCCGCGGCTCTGGTACAGAAATGCCGAACTTGCCAGGTGCACGCCCCACTGCGCCACCAATCAGCCCGGGAAATAGTCCCAATCCATAGTCCCTGGCCCTTCGCCCAGTGGGGGATAGACCTCCTGGGCCCTTTCCCCCCAGCTCCGGGAAGATACGAACACCTCGTCGTAGCCATCGACTATTTCATGAAGTGGATGGAAGCGGAGCCTCTGGCCACTATCTCGGGGAGGGCGATTCAAAAATTCTTCTGGCACTTCTCCAATCTGCGACTGTTCGTAGAGTAGGTTAGGCCAGGGTGTTTGGCTGTCTGTTCTTTGGAATCTGAGTTTCAATTTTGTCATTCAATAAATGTTCTGCATTCAAGTTTTCAATTCTTTGTGATTTTTCGACCTTTTTAAATTTGAATCCTACGCTAGCACACTCAGCGCTCCCTCACTCAGTGTCCTAGCGGAGGGCTAGGAGGATTGATGGTAATAGATGTGTTGCCTCGCAAGAGGTCGGCAGATATTCAAAGTAGATGCTCGACCCCAGGAGGTCGGCACGAACGAATGAAAACCTTGAAGTCTGAAAGTTCAACGCTCAACCTAGGAGGTTGGCGGGAATACCTTTAAGGGGTGATGCTCGATCCCAAGAGATCGGCACGGCTTGAAACCCTAGAATATGAGGGTACAACGTTCGACCTAGGAGGTCGGCGTGAATGCCTTCAAAGTGTGGGGTTCGATCCCAAGAGGCCAGCATGACTTAAAGCGGCAAAGTGTATGATTGACCCACGAGGTCGGCACGGCTTCAAAGTTTAGACGGTACGCTCGACCAAAAGAGATCGGCGCGGAAGTCCGAAAGTTCGACAGAGCTCGACCCCAAGAGGTCGGCACGAATGGATGCTCAACGCTCGGCCCCAAGAGGTCGGCGCGGCGTGAACTAATTTGGGGTTTGCTAGGATTCGGGGGTTCGACGCTCGACCCAGGAGGTCGGCATGAACGCCTTCAAAGTCAGATGATCGACCCAGGGGGTCGGCGAAATAAGCCTTAAAGCTTGGTGCTCGGTCACATGAGGCCGGCGCGTCGCCCTGACGGGTCTATTTGGTGCTCGACCCGGGAGGTCAGCACATGGTTTTGATAGACTGATTGGCTTTGACAATTTTACTGTCAGATTAACAAGAATATATATTCGGTGCTCGATCCAAGAGGTCGGCACATGGCTTTGGTTGCTAGAGTTGGGAGCAGGCGAGAATCGCAAGGAAATTTCCTTCGAGTTTCATATATGCATTCAAAGCCTATCTATTACAAAGCTTCCAAGTCGCCTATCTATTACAAAACCCACCTAGCTATGAAAGGAAAACAACTCCGACCCTCTTCTTTGTGCTGGTCACCTGCTTGGAGCAGGGGTTGAAGGTACACCTTAAACATGTTGAGAGGCGTATGGTGAAGGCTATTCAGGGTAGCCATAGGAGCCCTGGGGCAGGGGACCTATCCATCTCGGATGAACCCTCAAGAGCATTCTCAATTGGAGCATGGTCACATCCTTATAAGAAGATAGAAAGGGTTTCTGGAGTGGTCGCCGCCCTAGGCTACTGGCTCCTTGCCCGGAGCTCTGCCGGGGCCTCGTCCTCCTCCAGGGGAACCTCCACCAGAACGGCTCCCACATCACTCCTGCCTACTAGCTCCTTCAGGGCATGCCCCTTGCAATACCCGTCAAAGAGCCAGTTTACCTTCTTCTCGGCTTTAGGGTTGTACTCCTTGAAAGCGGCCAAGTCGAAGCCAGGCAGGCCGAGCTCCTTGACCTTATCCAGGGCTCGCGTGAAGCCGATATGGAGGATGGGCTCGTTGAGGAGGGCGACGTCCTCGGTAAACTGTTCGGAGGAGATGAACTCTCGAACAGCCTTCTTCCGCTCCCGGCCGACGGTGCCGGAGAGGTCGATGGCGTGGTCTTCCTTCAGCTTGGCCACGCCGGCCTTCTCCTGGTCAAGCTCCGACCTAGCGGAGGCGAGCT